GGGGCATACACGTTCGCACAAAACATCAAACGAAAGAAACCGAATCAGTGTTGCAGGAAACACAAATAGAAAAGGGTATTAAAGTCGAAACAAAATCTAATTGTTCTCTTTAATGATAACTTATGCAAGAAAAAAACGCTGTCAAGTGGCATTTACTTACTTACTAATGAAAAATTCCGACAAATTGCTAGCAAATTGTCGTCATTTGAGCACACTAGGAAAAGAAATACAGTGAGCGAAAGAAGTGACACGTTAAGTTGCTCTTGACATTTTAACGAGCCTTTTGGCTCTTCCTGAACTTCAATTCCGACAAAAGGGGTTTCATTACTTCTCTTCATACAGCGATTTGACACTTCACTTCTCTTAGATAAAGCCATACTCTCGCTCTTTTAGGTAAAACGAGCATATGAGAAAGAACGGCTGTACATACCTTTCAATACCGTTCCCTCTCCTCTTTTTCCCAACCAGATGCATCGCTTCCTCAGATTATTTGCTATTGTGTTTACGACACGCATTTCCAACGCAAAAGTAAGAATACATGTGAGTCATTGCAATTTTTAAAAGAAAAGAACTAATTTAAAAGGAAGAGCGCACAAAAATCTTTGTCAAATTACTTTTGCCCCCAAGGGGAATTCATAAAATGTTTTGAAAATAACAATAAACAATAATCAAAAGAGAACAAGAAGGGAAAAATGAACATAAACTTTTACATTGCAAAATTAATTGATTTCCCACCAACAACCCCCTTCTCCCCCTCCCTCCCCTTTTCCCCGAAATATTATTACTGTAGAAAGCGATATCCCAACTACCGCTTATGGCAAAGTGATTATATTACCTAACTTTGTTAAAGTTAAAACAAAAACAATTCTATTCAAAATTGAACAAACAACAACCCAATAAACAACAACAATTGAGAGAAGCAGAGAAGATTCAGGCTTATGAGGTATATCTACGTAACCCGATCGCAAACGATTTCTGCACCACGGTACACCGTGTAATTTTGAACTTTCTCCCACGAGAGTTCTTAAAGCCATTGACTCATGTTTGTGCGGGCCCCTTGTCTACGCGTGCATGCCTCTCTTTGTTTGCCCATTGAGATTTCCCAACTAGCAGTCTACCCTTCAACGATCCACCGGGATTGCGCACGGCCAATGGCTTCAAATTCCATAATTTTCAAATGTAACTGTAAAGGACATGATATTGGAGAGATGCAATAATAACGCTCTTCAGAGTCGAGAGTTTATTTGATTTGATAGAGCTAAACTCTTCAGCGTAGCCTCAATTTCGACGTCGGAAGCAAAAATGTTGAAAAGTTAACCATAGATCGTTGATCGATTTGAGACTTGAAAATGTTAGGGTAAATTACTGTGAAACACAGTTAAACGCCTTCAATGTTTGGCTAAACGGCTTCGCGGAGCGCCAGACACGGTGCGCTTGGCCAAATTACTCGTAAAATGGCAGTCGACACACGACCGTCGCTATTCTCACGGGGATTCAGGGAGGCAAAAAAACTTTCGGATCAAACAGCCATTTGAGTTTTCTCTCATCCCTTGTTCACCTGAGTCCGTTTCTTTGTTACTTTCTTTCATGTCAGTGTGTGTGTGTGTG